AGGGTGCTGCGGAAGAGGTCCTGGCAGAGCTCCTCGAAACGCGCACGGGTGAGCGAGGTGTAGAAGTCGATGCCCTCGAAGAGGGAGTCGATCTCGATGGTGGTCTGAGCGGCGGAGGAGAGAGTGCGCTTGGCGCGCTCGCAGGCCGTACGGAGACGACGGAGAGCACGGGGGTTGGACGAGAGGTCTGCACAAAGAACAAGTCAGCATACAATCCGACGCGATGATGATTTCATTGACAACTTACCCTTCTTGTGCTTGCGCTTGAACTCCTGGACGAAGTGGTTGACGAGACGGTTGTCGAAGTCCTCACCACCAAGGTGGGTGTCACCAGCGGTGGCCTTAACCTCGAAGATACCCTCCTCGATGGTCAGGAGAGACACATCGAAGGTTCCTCCGCCGAGATCGAAGATGAGAACATTACGCTCGCCGACGGTCTTCTTGTCGAGACCGTACGCGATGGCGGCTGCTGTGGGCTCGTTGATGATACGGAGGACATTAAGACCGGAGATGGTGCCGGCATCCTTCGTCGCCTGACGTTGCGAGTCGTTGAAGTACGCGGGGACGGTGACGACGGCGGAGGTGACGGTGCCGCCGAGGTAAGACTCGGCGACCTCCTTCATCTTCGTGAGGATCATGGAGGAGATCTCCTCAGGCGACTGTGAAGCGAATAGTCAGCACGATGCACAAAGCCACATACGTGTAAACAATGAACTTACGAATTCCTTGTCCTCACCGCGGTACTGGACGCGGATGTAGGGCTTGCCGCCCTTGTCGAAGACGGTGAAGGGGAAGTGCTTGATGTCGGACTGCACCTCGGCGTCCGCAAACTTGCGGCCGATGAGACGCTTCGCGTCGAAGACGGTGTTGTGGGGGTTCATCGCGACCTGGTTCTTCGCGGAGTCACCGATCAACCTCTCGGTGTCGGTGAAGGCGACGTAGGAGGGTGTGGTGCGGTTACCCTGGTCGTTGGCGATGATCTCAACACGATCATTTTGCCAGACACCGACGCAGCTGTTGAAAAAAAAGTCAGCACGCTGCGCGAGTGAGCCACGAAAAATATAAAACTTACGAGTAGGTGGTACCAAGATCGATTCCGATAGCCTTGGTCATGGTGGATGGATATTTGAGAGGGGGGAATTAAGAAAAGCGGTAGAGAGGAGAGATGAGAGTACAGGGGGAGTCCGTCGTAAAACTGAATTCGTTGGGGGCGTCGATCTCGGGCTCGGGCTTATATACATCGTTGAGCGTAGACGTTCGACACAGTTCCGGCACATTCGACCTTCTTTCTTTCCCTTTCCAGAGCTTTCCACCCGTCACGTCACCGCCCAGGTCACGTGTGTCACACGCCCGTCCCTTCCAGCCAGTTCCTCTATCTTCCCCTTTCAGCCCTCTTCATTGTCCCGACATACGGTCGAACATTGCAGACAGTTCACCGCGACCCTCGATATCGCCAGCTCTTGCGCAGAACTGGTGGCGACTTGTGCGACGCGTCCATGACGCGTTTCAGGCCAGCGCCTACTATCCGCGACGCGCACCTTCTTTCAAGCTCATCTCTCTCGGGATCTTCGCGCATACGTACAACCACTGGATCCTCGTCTTCCGAATACGTCTAAGTGTTATAGACATGCGCCGTAGATCTACAGCCTCAATGCCTGCGTTCATCTTGTCCTCTATTGCGTACGTCAGCTACACGGCTGCCGTGGACTGTTGTCTATCTACCGACCGTCCGACGAGCCATCGATACGACCGTTGGGGATGGACATGCGCGTGTATCTTCTCGTCGTGTTTTCAACGTGCATGTCTTCTGTTGTGTCTGCGCCGGTACCGGGTACCCAGCCGGTATAATTGACCTCTGCAGATCAACACCATGAGAGCACGGTCGATTATCGGACATGAGGCATCGTAGCTACGTAGCTGGATGTCGTCACCGTACAAGTACTTAGGCAGTTTGAACGTGTATTTCATGGCGAAAACTCGAGCCTGATGCTCTGGTGGCCTGTGCATGCGTACGTTCTGTACCGCCAAGGACCGGCAACGCTGAGTAGCCAGCGCTACGGCCGTGACGGTCGCGCCCGGCGGCGCATCGTGGCAGCTGCCTAATCGAGCCTGAATTTTTGGAGGCTACACCAGCGCGCGCGGCCATTGTCTGCAGTCGTCATGTCTGTCCCCATCCCCGTCACCGTCGACCCGCCCCCCGTCCCGCTCCCTCCAGCGTCGGCGCCGGTCGCATCGTCCTCATCATGGCCCTTCGGTAGCATCTACAACCGTTTCGCCACGTGGAGGAAGTCCCTCGACCTTCCTAACCCCGGCACGGTCGAGAACCTCTCAAAGGAGGCGAAACGTATGTCGTGTCGGGCGAACGAAACCCATGTCAGCTCATGAGCTCCATTCAGAGACGCTGCTGAACAACTATGCGTTCGATGGCGCGAGGGCCGACCTCTCCAAGAGCCTGTCGATGAACCCGATGTTCCAGGTCACGCATTCGTTCCACTTGGGCTCGCAGACGAGTCCGCCAACATATCACTTCGGTGCCATGTTTGCGAATGACAAGGTATGCAGACTGCTGTCAAAGAACACGGTGCCACCCGTTCGGGCTGCTGACATTGTCCGCAGGCTTTCTTGCACGGCAACATCGACAACGACGGGAACTTGTCAGGACGGTTCAACCAGGGCTGGAGCGCGAACAACGTCTCAAAAGCACAGGCGCAGGTACGTTCTCATTGACGCATTCCTCGCAACGGCGACACGTCAGCATCAGGAAGTGACCGCCACGTCCGCAGCTGTCGACACAACCCGGGCAGAGCTTCCTGCAGCTCGAGCACGACTACCAGGGCAGCGACTACTCGCTGAACGCGAAGGCGGTCAACCCATCCCCGGCAGACCTGACCGGCATCTACATGGGCTCGTACATGCAGTCCGTCACGAAAAACCTCGCGTTTGGGGTCGAGTCGATCCTGCAACACCAGGGCCCCGGCTTGTCCGATATCGGGGCTGCGTACCTCGCCAAGTACACCAGTTCGGACCGGAACTGGATCGCGACCGCGCAGGTGCAAGGTCCCGGCGTACTGCAGGCGACATACTGGCAGAAGCTGAGCGAGAAGGTCGACGTCGCGGCGGACCTGCAGGTCATGGCGGCGCCCGGCCGACGGGATGCGTTGGCGACGCTCGCGGCACGGTACGAGCTACGCATGGCGTCGTTCCGCGCTCAGGTGGATTCGACGGGCAAGGTGTCGGCGTACCTCGAGCAGCGGTTCGCCCCCACCTTCTCGTTCCTGGTTTCTGGCGAGATCGACCACTTCAAGGTGCGTTCCTCGTCGTCTCTCCTGAGTATATGCGCTCTTGCTCACCCCTCTCCGTAGAACGCGGCCAAGGTCGGCGTCGGTGTAATGATCGACTCGTCGAGCTTGAGCCCCGAGGAGATGGGGATGGTCCCGCCACCCGGCTCCCCTGCCCTCCCTATGCCTCAGCCGTAGTTCTGTGAAGTACATTACCTTAGCGTAGAATATTAGGTGCCTGTGTGTGCCCGTACCCCCTCCTCATGCTTTGATAATACTTGCAATCACATCTTGCATTGTCCTCCAGCTTAGACCTCACCGCAGCCTTCGGGTCCATCGTGGTCTCCGCTTCGAAATCGAAGGGTTCCCGGATGTCGTATTATGAACGCGCACATTAGCGCCCAAAGGCGGGCGATGACGTCCCTGGAGAAACCATCGTAATCCGCGAACGTTACACCGTCTTCAACAAGAACCATCAGGACTGCCAAAATGTCGGGCGCGCCCCTGCTCGAATTGAAGAATATTGGCTGCTACAAGCAGAAGGGCCAGCCCATCTTCGCTGATGTCAACCTAAAGGTGAACGAGGGTGAAGTTGTAGTTCTTCAAGGCAAGAGTGGTTCGGGGTAGGTCACGATTGGGCAAGCTGTATGCACACGTATCATACTGATTGACCTACGTTTTGTCTCTATGGTGCAGGAAGTCAACGCTCCTAAAGTGTATATCCCACCTGAACGTTTATGATGGCGAGGTGTTTTATAGAGGCCGGTGAGTTCTTATATGCTCTTAAGTCCTCTCCTACCAGGTGCTTAGATTCGTTCTTTAGGACCCCGCAGTCTTATGGTACGCGTGCGCCGTGACTAGCGCGTATCTATGAGTGGTGTACCATCTCACGGCCTCCTCCCGAACCAGGCATCCCAAAGTTCCGCACGCAAGTGCTCTACGTCCCGCAGCGCCCATCGCTCCTCCCGGGCTCCCCGCGCGACTTTCTCCAGGCCGTCTCCACCTTCGCCGTGCACAAGCGCCCCTCCGTAAAAGACAAGGCGGCGGGGGCGCTTTCCGAAGCGCTAGGAGTCGGGCAAAACGACTCCGGGGGCGGATCGCACGAGACGTTCGCGGTCGCGGAGTCATGGGGTATACAGCCGGAGCTGTGGGACCGCTCGTGGGCGAACCTGAGCGGCGGCGAGGCGCAGCGCATTGTGGTCGCGATCGCTGTCGGACTTGACACCGCGGAGGTCCTCCTCTTGGATGGTATGTTTTGATGTGTCCGAAACTTCACCGCATATAATTGGACTGACGGCGCATCTATTCAGAACCTACGTCTGCGCTGGATTCGGAGTCCTCGGGCAAGGTGGAGGAGCACCTTGTGTCGGCGGTCAAGTCGCCGGACTCGAGGCTGAAGTCTGTTGTATGGATCACGCATTCTCCGGAGCAGGGCGAACGAGTTGGGACGCGCTTTATTCGCATAACGTCTGGTGGCGTGCGAGAAGACCGTACGGACCCTGGGGTATAGTAGCAGACACTACCAGACAGACATGCATGCAGAATGATGATGATGGGTTCTTGGTAGTGGTGATTTCGCGGGCTCTTTTATGCGTGTGTTTGTCCTTTTTGAACCATTCAAACAGTAGTACATTCATGCGGAATTCGAATAGATTGTAAGTTAGGTAGAGTAGTGAGATGGATGCCTTGCGTCCAGTCAGACAGAGACAGCTCCACGGCTGCGGTCCCTTAGCTCAACTGGTTAGAGCTTTGTACTTATAGGGATGCAACTGCCTTGACATGCAAGGGTTCCGAGTTCGATCCTCGGAGGGACCAGCTTTTTGTTTGTGCCCGTGTTCAAGATGCAATGCCGATTGATACGCATGTGCAACGTAGAGTAGTTGGGAGTCAAGAGGTCAAAGACAGGCCATTAGGAAAGAGTACACAAGGTATACAACAAGCGACAACGAGAGAGGTGCAAAAGAAAGTTACAAACATCGAGGACTTCTTCATCGCGCAACACCCTTCCCCTTGTCTGTGGAAGTAGAGGCAGAGGCAGAGGTGGAACTACCAGCGGCGGAAGTTGTAACGATCGTGCTGTTCGGTCCTCGTATTCGGTCGATCCAGGCCGAGATCCACTCGACTGACCGCACGACGGGGCCCATCTGCGTCATGAGGTCGCCGCTGACGGACTTGGACTGCTCCTGCAGCTCCTTCTGGATGTGCGCACGGACGTCCTCCAGGATCGCGTTGAGGTCGTCGCGCGTGGCGTTCAGAAGCTGCGGGCGGATCGCCTCGACGATCTCTTCGGCGGTGAGGGGCGCGGGAGGGAGGGGAGGATGCGAGCCCTGTGCGCCGATAGCGGTGATCGCTTGGCTCAGCGCGTGGATCTCTGTCCTGTGCGCGGCGAGGGTCTGCGACATTTCCGCGAACTTCGCCAGGGTCTGCAGAATGATGAGGGGATGCGCTTGAAGGAATATCGTAGCCGCCACTGAGACGTACCTCCTCTATAGACTTTGTGATGGCGTCGTTCTTCGTCTGCAGTATAGCACGCTCCTCCTCCACCTTCTGGCCTTCCGACTTTATTGTGGTGAGATCTGCGAGGGCCTCTGTTGACTTCTCGTCGACCGAGCGTGTGCGGTCCAATAGTGTCTGTAGTTTCTCCTGGAGCTCGGGATCGGCAGACTTATCTTCTTCTCCGCCCACTCCCAACTTGAGGCCAGCCAGCCTGTAGTCAAGCTCTGCCTCCACCTCGTCAGCGATCTTGCTGTCGTATTGGAGGAAGTCGTTGCGTAGTTCTGAGATCCTGTGAGTGAGCTCGGCGAGTTGATCCTGCATCTGTTCCGCCTCTCCCGCGGAAAGGTCAGGCACTCGTACACTTGCGTCGGTGGAGAGACGGCGCCGCTTCTTGGGACGGCTGGGAGCGTCATTCGATATCTCACCCGGTTCAGGGTTCGACGCAGGCGCAGTCGCCGCTGTAGGCGCAGAAGGACCCGCAGTCACCGCCGTCGAGGGCTGCGAAGCCTGCACGCTGGCCAGCGCGCCGTGAAGGCGTTCCACCTCCCCCCTCAGGCCCGCGAGGGTTTCGATGATTTTCTGATAACCTGGGTCGGCGGCGTGCTGCGCACGTTGGGCATGGGGCCAGAAATCTTCAGGTATGAGTTCTCCCGCGAGGCGGTTCAGTTGGTGCTGCTTCTCCTGGAAGCGTGATGTTGCAGACTCGAGGAGCTTCTGCAGCGCAACCTTGTCCTCCACGGGCATGCTCTCGTATTGCGCCGACTTTGTGAGCCGCTCGTACTTTTTCATGTCCTCGTGCAAGCGCAGGTGTTCGCTTCGAGATTGGACCGTCTTCGACAGAAGGCTGCACGAATGGATGTTATCGTGGTGATTTGACGACAGTAAACATTATGAACACACTCGATGCGCTTCAGCCAAAGCTTGCGTTTCTCTTCCTCCGTGAGCACTTTCGGCGGCGGGCGCGCAGAAGACGGCCGACGGTGGCGCGACGACGAAGACCGTCCGTGCCCACGGGAGCTCGATCGGCTCCTGCGATCCCTGGATCTGTCGTCCCTCCGCCTGCGATATTCATCGTCTCGGTCTCGGTACCGGTCGTCGTCTCGCCGTCTGTCACGGTCTCTGCTCCGGTCCTCGTACCTCCTCTCGTCGGACCGTCGCCTGTCATCGTCCCGGTATCGCCCCCTCTCATCGTCCTTCTCCTCGTCTCGCGTTCGGGCCCCGCTCGCGACGTACGATGGACGACGTGCTGAAGACGACGCGATCGATGGCGCCGGGGAGTGGCCACGGGGCCCCCGCGGCGGATGCATATCCACGTCGCGGTCGCCGTGTGCGCCGTGTGCGGAGGAAATACTTGGGATGCGCTCCCGAGGTTCGACTTTGAGCGGCGGCGAGGGAAGTCGCGGCGGACCGTATGGCGAGGGCGGGCGGGCGCTTGGATGTGGTGGTGGGTATCCCTTCAAGAGAGGAGGTTGCGCGTTCTCCCACTCCGGTTCGTCCGGGTGAACGTAGGTGCAGTCCTTGCTGCTCCGAAAGCAACCGAGGCCGTGAATATTCTCGATAGGCTCTCCGTTATCCGTGTATCTCTGTGGGTGCGTGGGTGCGCGTGGACGAGAGATCAGCGAGGACCCGAGGAGGAAGGCACGAAAATCAGCGCGCGCGGACAGGCGAACAAGAGCAAGCGGACGCGGCGCGCGTGCGGACTCAGGGTCGCATAGGCAAACTGGGAACTTACGTTACATCGCCGCGTCTTGTACAAGCTGGGTGGAAAATAACGCGGAGGCATGTCCCGAAATCAGAGAGTGGGCCTCAAAGGACGGGGGGAGAACAAAGAAGACGGTCGCTTGAATGTATCACACCAACGCAGCAAGTTCACGCATGCGTATGTAAGTAGCGCCCACGGGTACTCACGCGACGCGTCCCATGCACTAGAGGAGATATCCAAGAGCTAAGTATCGCCTTTGAACTGTGCGCATAGCCAAGTGACATGCTATAATTCACTGAGGCGAGATGCCGTCGCGTCTACAGGTCCGCAAACTCAGCATCGAACCTGCTCTGGCTCAGGTGCCCCTTCTTCACCCGCTTCGCCAACCGCTCCTCCCGCGCCAGCTCCGCCCAGTCGTCCCCCTCGCCCCCACTCTCTCCGCTCACGTCTTCCAGGCCGCGCTTGCTCCCGGTTTGGTCTGGAGTAGCCGTATCCGCAGCCTCCTGCGCCTTGAGCCACTTCTTCTTCCGGTCCTTCTTCTCCTTCCGCTTGTCCCGCTCTTCCCTCTGCTTCATCTTGTCGCTCCACGCTGAGTTCAGCTTCTGCTTTTCAGCGTTCGCCGCCTTGCGTCTCTCGATGTCCTCCGCAGTCGGCGTGGCCTTAGCTGCCGCTTCTGCGAGCCGCTTGGTTTCCTGTGCCTTGTCGACATACGCGAACGTGTTCCACTGTCGATAGCTTACCGTTAGTAACGTATTATGAAGAACAGGGTGCTTTCTTACATCGACGTCAGCATCTTGCCAGCCGTCCCGTGAGAGCTTTTTCAACTCTGGCATGCGCGGTAATCGCAGCAGCCCGAAACTTTTCGCAAGTCCAACCATGTCCAGGTCCTTGAGTCGGAAAATATACGACGCCTCGTGCTTCGAATACGCCCGAGCGAACGACACGAATGCCTTCACAGCCTAGACGGATGTTAAGTTAATTGCTCAATCTCGAGACGGAGAGTGCAAACCTTGTCACTGAGAGCGCGATCGGTTAGTAGTTTTTCTCGAATGGTCTGCATCGCCGTCTGCACCTCCGGGTCCTCCGCATCCATATCGTCACCGCACCGCACCGAACCGTCTTTATTAAACGGCCGCCGTTCCTTCATGGGAATCTTGCGTACGGACATGAACTCGACATAGTCGACTTCGCGCCCGACAAACAAAACCCATGCTGTACCGCTGCGGCCCGCTCGGGCTGTTCGCCCGCAGCGATGCGAGAACGCCTTCGGGTCGGCTGGAGGGTCAAATTGAATGACGACGTCGACGTTGGGTAAATCGAGGCCGCGCGCGGCAACGTCGGTCGCAAGGAGGACCGATGGGGCCGATGGGAGTGCGGCAGAGGTGGCGAAGTTGGCCAGAGTCCGTGTCCTGGCAGAAGGTGGGAGGTGGCCGTGCAGAGAGAAAAGCGTGGTATTGGGGGGCATCAAGGGAGAAAGCACCTGTTATTGATGGTAAGCATTTCGGCTGTCTGCCTCGGGAAAAGCATCCTACTCGGTAGAAATAGTCCACACATGCGCAAGTCGCAAAGTAAACGATGAACCGCGCGGACTTTTGCTGTTGTACTTCGTATCGTAAAATTCGGGTCAACTGTACGAGCTTCTCGGAGGCAAGGCAAGGCATATAGTAGTTCTGAAGGCTGAAAAATGATGTCAGCTTGAGACAGGTTTAGTCTGAGAAATTATATACTCACTTCGCAGGTATTCGACGTTCCTCGATGACCTCTCGTTCTACCTTAGTGGTTCCGTCGGCCGCGATGGTTTTGCCTTTGAGCTTCTTTGACTGAACCTTAACGACGATGCGTGCAGGGTTGCGCAACCCGACGCGGACGAGTTCTGATAGAGCGTCGGCATCTGTCATAGTTGCGCTGAAGAGCCCCGTCCGGCGTTGTTTAGGGAGGTGGGTCAATATCCGGGACAGCGCCGCTTGGAACCCAAGGTCGAGTAAACTGGATAGGAGCGTGAGACGAAGCGGAATCGGAGTCTGAGAGAGATAGACGTACCGATCTGCCTCGTCCAGGACCAAGACCTCAAGCTCCTTGACGCTAACGACGTTCTTGCCCTTCCCGAGCAGGAACTCCTCCACCCGACCCGGCGTACCGATGACGATGTCTGCACCTGTAGAGAGAAAGCGCTGGAGGTCTTCCGCAGGCGGAGAGTCGGAAGATATCATCAAAAGCGGGGAGGGATATTCCGGCTCGAGCTGGACGTTCGAGCCTGAGGCTTCGTCCGGGGATGGGGAGGCCGCATGCCGGGACGGCTGAGATGACAGGAATAGAGAGAATATGGAGTGAATTTGCGTGGCCAGCTCTCTGGGTATACGTGTGAGCGCGATCGTTACACAAGCAAACCCATGAACATACCTGGTCGGGCTAATAATCAAAGCACCGATCTCGTTTTTTGCTAGCTTGTGCTCCCTCCGGATCAACTTCTCCAGGATAGGTATGACAAATGCAAGCGTCTTCCCAGAACCAGTGACGGCTTCGACGACGACGTCCTTGTGCTTCATGAAGAGCGGAATAGTGGACGCTTGCACAGGCGTCATTTGAGTGTGTCCCATAGAGTGAATAACGTCTAGAC